GCTATAGATATCTGACTCCTTGCTAACTTTTCCTGTCATCAAATATTCAAAAGCCATGTAGCCATAGGTTCCAATTATGTCTGCCGTCTCCAATTCTTCTCCATGGTCCACAAGCCTTGCAATCCTGAAATCCCCCAGTTTAGCGTTGAAATTTGAATCCAATTTAACATTGCCGGGTTTGATATCCCTATGCAGCACACATTGTTCCAATTCTTGGTGTAGATAGAGCACCCCAGAGGCCAAGTCTTGGGCAATTCTGTATCTTGTCTCCCAAACTAACTGACTTTTTTCTTGGAACAAATGAGAATCTAATCTGCCATTGGGCATGAACTCGTAGACAAGTAGGAGGTCTCCTTCATTGTGGCACCAACCAATTAGTTTCATCAGATTCCGATGCCTAAGCCGACTAATGATCCTTACTTCAGACACAGCTTCCTTGAGCCCCTCATCAAATCCCTTTGATATCTTCTTTACTGCTACGTAAGATTTCAAGTCTTAGGTAGCCCTTGTAAACTACACTAAATAGTCCCTCTCCAAGTTTTTCTCCCTTAGCAAAATGTTTGGTCGCCAAATCCAATTCTTTGTACGAAAACTGCCTTGGGCGACTGATCTCCTTTTCAAATTCCGCAATCACGTCATGACGAATCATGGGAATTTTAGCAGCCCTTTCTTCTACTGCCTTTTTCTTGCACGAGTTGAACAAACCCAAACCTACAACACAAACCAAGATAAGTCCACCACCACCACCAATAGTACTACTGATCACAACAACCAGTGGTTTCTTGCGTTTTCTTGACTTTTTAGAACTATGCTCTGGCTCTGGAACAGGAGATTCTTGGCTTTTTTCTTGGCCAGAAAAAGCTAGAAATTCATCATCAAGCAGTGAAGAAGAAGTAAAATTCCATGAGGTGATCTTATGCAGAGCATAAGCAGCCCCTGTTGAAGCAGAGAAGCCAACAATGACCCAATCCGGCAAGTAATTATTCAGATCAACCATGTAACTGAGAGAATTTATCACTTGCTCTTGGCTACCATTTACATAAGTGGTGAAGGCAACACTAAGAATTTTTGAGCTAGAATTATAACTAATCCAAGCACGATTTAGTTTTGCTTCTGCAATACCACCATTCCAAGGCCTGGTAACATTCGACTTGACACTGTTGACGTCAATCCCCACGTGACTGCCTTCGGGATCCTCCACGGCTGGCCATGGATTACGGAAGGTATCAAACTCCACCGCAACGAAGGGGTACTCATTGCTCGGCTCAATGAGGTTTTCCATCGAGCTGTTGACAGGAAGGCCGATACTGCTACCTACTCCTAATGCATGGTTGAGTAGGGACCCGTTTGGCGCAATGAAGAAAGCTAGCCCCTCAGTAGAGGAGGGGGCCGTATGTTTTGGCCATGGATGATGAATGTGAAACTTGTGTTGAAATCCGCGAGTTTTCCGGTGGCGTTTTCCCGGAGGAGGAAGGGTTGGCCGTACGTGGCTCTGCCAATACTCCCATTAAATCTCGATCCTACGTTGTCTTTGGTGAGGTGGATGAATTGGTTGTCAATAACGGCATCTCCCTCTGTAATTAGTAATCTAGTAGTACCGTTGGTGTGATCACTTTGCTGGAAGGTGGGGAAATGAAAGGTTAAAGGAAATGCACAAGGGGTTAACAGAAGGAGCAGCACAAGAAGGAACTTTGGAGAGTGCAGTGTGACGATGGCAGCCATTTTTGTTTATGGGGGAGAGAATGTGGATCTCCACTAAAATAGAGCAGACTGCAGAGCTAATTTTCGAATTAAAATCAAGATTTTCAGATGGAGGACTGTGACCTGGTTGACTGACCTCTACGCGAAAGTGTTCCGAAGGGAGAGCAGGACTTTCAGCCCTTAAACTTTGTCTCTTCGGGCTAGTTGTCTTGCAAGTTGCAACGCGTCCAATCTGGTATTTTCTTTGTAGTTGATTGGCGTGTAGCTTTTATATATATATATTTTTTGGGTTCAAATTTTGTCCAAGTTTGTGTTGTTTGTCATGCTGCTTTAATTTTTTTTGTAGAACTAAATTAATTTGTGTCTTTTTGGTACACTAGTTGTGAATTGTTTACAAAAGGATCAAGGGGTTTTATGGAACTGTAGAGGGACCCCAACCTTAAACTTCTTTGATCAAATTGAATTTCAGTAATAATTCACGCAACATATGCAAATATATAATCTGGGGTTTCATAATGTAGTAATTGAAACGATTGAAAAAAGAAAAAACCATAACTGAACCGTATTATTTGTTTCATTGTGGACATGAGAAGACATTGGAAAAATGTGAGAGAAACAGAGGATTTTACTTACAGAAAGAAAATATGGCAATCGGTGCAATGCAGCGAGCCAAAACCATTAGCACCAGCCTAAAGCTTCTTCTAGATCAATTTTCCTTGATTAATAACCCACATGTTTAATCAATGGTGTCATCAATGGAGTGCAAGCCAAGCTTCTTGTTTGATTGGTTGCTGAGAAGACATCTGAAAACACACTGAACTTCGAGGAGTTGGATGTAGAGACGACATTGGAAAAGTTATTCCTTACCCAAGCGAAATTGTTGATGAGAATTCGTTGCTGAAGATTCAGTGATCTCTGAGGAATTGGTGGCATTACCATAGCCAGACTCCATTGCTGAAGATTCAGTGATCTTTGAGGAATTGGTGGCATTACTATAGCCAGACTCCATTGCTGAAGATTCAGTGATCT